GTCCTGGTATAACAAGGTGCCTCAAAGATTTCACATACGATTTCATGTTCAAGTCTTTTTTTTTCACTGTCATTTGGACACTCATAGCCGAAACTCCTTTCTCACGTGCCAAACGTATTATGAATTGAGTTGGATCTTTTCTATTTGATCTCCTTAACTCTAAGTTGAAATGCTTTTCCTTTCTACTGTTCCCTCTTTTTTAAACTTATTCACCGTTCTCTTGATGGTTCTTGAATGAAATTTGAAGATGGGAGCCAGAGTATGAATGTTGGTACCATTACTGAAGGCCTATATGATATTTTTCCTGTCGCCATTGCTCGTTTGGGAAGAGTGTGGAGCTGCCACAAAACGATTTTGACCCGTTCTATTTCTAGCTGAATAACTCAAAGGATTTTTCACTGATTCTTATGACAAATAGTGTCAAGATGTCTAAACATCTTATCTGAAAATCTTAAAGAAAGAAACTTAGTTTAGTGGGGTTTTTTTTTTTTTTTTTTTAGATATTAAACATTTTGTGGAATGGTCAATTATGCTGTTACACGATATGGACAATTTTGCTGTTACAGCCAGTATATGACAACATACTTAGAAAACCCACTTTCCTTTTTTTTGACTCTGTTAGTTCAATTAATACAAGGCCCAAGAGCCACTCAAAGTAGAGAGTTACTGGGTGGGATTGTGCTAATGGAAGGAAACGGGGGGTGGGGGTAAGAGAATATTATGAGGATGTGTATGATAGATATCGTTTGACCCTAGACTTAAAGAGACCAATATAGTAGTTGTTATGAAAGCAACGTCTTGTGAGTTTGTTATATAGAGTAACAGTTCTGCAGAAGAAGCTGTCTGAGTGGAACTTTCTTTTTAACAAAGAAACACGAAGTGAAGTTTGTCACCATGGATATGCCAAGGCGGGCCCTAGCTGTGAAAGTCCCCTGGCTGGTGGAACTAAGGAGTGTAGCCGGTCCAAAATCTGGTTTAGTAATAGCAATATAGTAGTGAAAGTACGATGACATTTCGTCTGTTGGATAAAGGTTTGTAGGGTAGAGAATAGTTCATCGCCCACATACACACAGAATACAGGGTTGGTACACATGAAATAAAATTCCAATAACCAAAAACACTATACATAAAAGAGTGCTCAATACTGAATAGATCCAATATTTATTTAAATTTATAACATATACATGTTATAAAATGTATATTATAAACTTGAATATATATATATATATATATATATATATATATATATATATATGAAGAAAAATATACAGAAAAAAACAAACAAAAATCTTAATATTCTAGACCATCATCAGGACATATTCATAAAAACATAATTAACAATAGGTTCTTATATTTTCATACAAGCTTGAAGTCTTCCATGTTACAAAGTAAATCAAAAATGATTTCAAAATATTAGACAGGCACGATGGAACAATTTTAAACAGTTCGTTAATAAATCCTTTCCTTACTTACAGGAATAGGTTGAGATCAATAGATCCTTATATTTTCGTACAAGCTTGAATTCTTCCATGTTATAAAGTAAATTCAGGTTTGTATATATATATATATATATATATATATATATATATATCACTGTTGAAATAAATCTATGACTGATTATATGATGACTAATTAATTCTTTTCCTTATTATGTATTTATTTATATTGCTCTGTATATAAATTTATACATTGAGCTCTCATCATGGAGTTAACTTTTTAATATTAAAAAGACCACATTGGAATAATTCCTACCACCTACGGATTTAGTATTATTCATATATATACTCAACACTCCCGTCGAATTCAACGTATGAGGGTCAAGCAGATCAGTTCCTAGGAAACCGACAACAGCACATGAGATTTGATTATAGTGGTGAAGGTTTCGTGCAGGACCATCCACACTTTTGGAAGGGTCGAATACAGAGACCTGGTGCACTACGTGCCACAAGGTCCCCAAACAACCCTCCGCAGGTTTTGAATTCAGAGTTGTCCTTCTCCTAGACCAGTTGCCATCGAAGGCTATAGAACCCAGTCTGTCCTGCTATTTACCCATAGCTGGAGGGAAAAGAAGAGGATTCACAACCTTTCCCAAGGCTATTAGCACGTAAATGAATGTAATGGTTTCGCCTGGAATTCAAACTCGGCTATCCGATTCCTCAATCCAAGCCTCTATCCATTACTCCATCCTGCCTCCTTTATATATATATATATATATATATATATATATATATATATATATATATATATATATATATATTTGGGAAATATAAGGGATTCTCACTGCTACAGTGCATTTCTTGCCTTATTCAATTGTAATATATGGAAAAATATTTGTGAATATGAAAGGATTATGATTAAAATAAGCAGACAATGTTTGTAAATTATTCAATCTGACATGCTTAAAAGAGAACTTGCTGCTAAATACATACACACACACACACATATATAGATAGATAGATAATATTATTAGTTTATATATATATATATATATATATATATATATATATATATATATATATATAAAATATAAATTCCCAAGAGCATAGAATCCAGGTAGATTTCATATATTCTGAAAGTTTCATGGAATATTAGTGTTTGAACCTTTTATATTATATTCTTACTCTATCCTGGACATTGAGTTCTACCTGGATTCTATGCTCTTGGGAATATATATATATATATATATATATATATATATATATATATATATATATATAAACCACTAATATTATCTATCTATCTATCTATATATATATATATATATATATATATATATATAAAATTAACAAATCAGAGACTTCAGAAAGCCATGGTAATATTTTATTTCGCAAAAACCAATAAAACTTGATTTCACTTCAGACCTGGTGGTTTCAAAACAAATATATATATATAAAGTCATCCACAGACAGACTGTTTCACTGTTTCACAGCTCTTCAATGTGGCTAGACATCCGGTTGCCTCTAGCTAGGATCGAAACCCGACTGAATTGGCGTCAGTCGGAGATTCTACCACTAAGCAGTCGCTGCACGGCAGGGATGAAGGTGAATTTTAATGTATTTACTTTTAGATAAACACACACAGTGACTATATATATATATATATATATATATATATATATATATATACGGAATGGTGCAAAACTAGGTGTAATGAAAAACAAAGCGTGAGAACAAAACTTATTGATTATATAAATATATCAATTAATAAACGTGAATCCCTCAAATGTTCAAACTGTTTGCCCTTTCCATCATTCACATGCTCCTCTTTACCTGCAAAATATTCATTATTATTCATTAAAAAGTGAAAATTATAATAAATGTATTCTAAGAAAAATTTGGAAATTAAAAGATATAAAAACTAACTTAAAAGCTGTCCTCTCAGCCTATTCAGGAGTTTGTGAGTTCCTAAGTCTTTGCATATTCTCAGCCTTGAAAGCTTTCCTGGTTGCTGTTTGATCTGGATTTTCATTTGCACAAGACTTACTTTTTTTTCTTGCTGCAGCTTTGGCTCTTTTGATTGCAATCTAGTCCTCTGTTGGCGGAGATTTCTTTTTGTGAGTCTTACTGCTGCCGTATGTGACAGGCAACAATAAACTACAAAAGAATTCGAAATTGATCACTTCATTTAGGTATTGCATTAATATTTAAGCTTACCTTTTAAAATTTTAATGATAATTCTTCTGCTGCCACTTAACTTAAAAAATATTTGATGTGCTTAGGTCCTTACTTTCTGTACAAACAATTATTTTATTTCATGGGTGACTTTTGCTGGATTTCGCAATTAATTTTGATTATTACCAAATTTATTTCCAAGTCATAAAAATTGTTATTGTATAAAAAAATTTGTTCCAAAAAATCACATAAAAAAAAAATCACTGAAAACAATCGCAGTAATGAAAACTTAGGGCGTCCTGAGTAAGATGCTAAACTACATCCGTGTCCTGGGTAAGACGATAAACTACATCCAACAGCAAGGCCTCTGATCAGGAGTTTTTGAGGAACATGGAACCACCTCTTAATTACTGGTGTTCCCAGGTCCACCTTGACCTGGGGTCATAGCACTTGTTAGGGTCCCAACTATTTGGTAAGTAGTTAACCCCCAAACTGGAGTTAAAATACCACAAATGTGTAAAAATAGGTTTTAATACTGGCGATAAATTTTTTGTTAAAAAAATTATTACCAGCAATACATTATTATCAACAATACATTTTTAAAGAAAAAAAAAATTGCCAGCAATACATTTTTGAAAAAAATATTACCAGAAATAAAAATCTTGTTGGCATTAAATAACTCATTGAGGTTTATATGCTGTAAAACAAACGAAACAAAACAAAACAAAAACTTGGAAGTTCAAAATTTCTGCAACATGAGCTATTGAAATTTAGAGAGTTGTGTCCCTTTAAATGAAAAGTTGTGGCACAGTGAAACACTGGCATTCAGATTTATTATATAGATAATTTGAATGAAATAAATGAATTCGGATATAAAATGAATCCTAGAACAACTATTATAATACTGGTATAAAACTTCTTGTATACCTACTTTTGCACCCCTGTATACATAGATATATTCATTCCATATCAACTCAACCATGGTTCGATGTTCATCATCTATTTTGATAAAATTTAAATAGGTGATACCCACCTTAGAGAAATGGAAAACCTGACCCATAGTTCAGAAGTTATGACCTCTTAAAATTTGCTTGGATTTTCTTATCATGAGACAGAAGTATCAAGTTCTTCTTTGAAAGAACTTCTATGAAGGCCAGTTTACTTCTTTAAAAATCCTTCACAAAGGCAGGTTTAATTCTTTCTTGAAAGCCCTCCATGAAGGCACATTTGCTTTTTTGAAAGCCTTCCACAAAGGTACATTTACTTCTTTGTTGATGAAAGTTCTTTTTTTTTGTTTGTTTATGAAAATCCTTTTCATAAACACTAAAATGTGAAATTCATACTTGTTCTGCAAGAAATAAGATTAAAATCAAAGTTAACACTTAGGCTTATGGCTATATCACATTGAAACACCAGTCCCCATATGATCACTGAAGTTGAGCAATGTTGAGTGTGGTCAATACCTAGATGGGTAACTGCTTGGGAATACCAGGTGCTGTAAGCTTGGACTTGCAGGTGGTGTAAAATAGGTTTTAATACTGGCAATAAATTGAATTGATGAGCTGATATGGAATTATTAATAGGAGAATCGAGTCCCAATTTCCGTTGGGTTCATTATATTCACTCATGCACAAATAGCCTTGGGAAAGGTATGAATTCAGATCTTCCCCAGGTATGGGTTAATTAGTAAGACATCTATTAATAAAACATTATCTCCCCAGAAAATAATTTTTTTTTTTTTTTTTTTTAATCTAAAATATATTTTCTAGCTTTAACCTGCAAAAGGTTGCGAAATCGTAAAAACGAATCAATAAATCAGTGTCTACACTATTTATAGACTCTTGTTCCCGGGCCTACCTGTGGTTTCTGGACGACTCTGTCATCATGACCTCAGGCAGACATCTGCATGACATGCAAATTTAGTATTTCATTTGAATGATACACTCCCTTTTATTCAATTTCTTTCTAATTTTTCTATTTCCTTTTTTATCACTAGTCATCTTATTTTTGTTGAGTTTTATTTTGAGTTAACCTGTTCCTGCAGCAAAAGCTTGTGTGGGTGGACAAGAGAAGCTATATATATATATATATATATATATATATATGTTCTTAAATAGGCAGTCAGCTGGAAAAGGTCGATCGTCATTGTAGCGTTATCTTTTCATAAGGAACCGATCTAATTCACTGATTAGGTTTTATACTTGTGTCTGTGTTGAATCTTTAAAACCAGCTGTTGAAGCAGAAAATGGTGGCGGGTCGGCCCTAATACATGAGTAATAGTGGGGTGGGGGAGGAAAGACATGTACATTTCACATGGACGAATAGCAACTTTCGGCTTCAGTCATGAAAAATAAGAAGGTTACTTCATAAATATTTTCCTGATACATTTTATGATAGCCATTAAACCAGACATTTTAAAACAAAGAGCAAAGTGAAAAAAAACACTAAAAAAACACAAAAAAAAAAAAAAAAAGAAAGGATGTCGTCAAACTTAATTTTATACATCTTCAGATTACATATAGTGGACATTTATAACGTTTTTATTTGATTATCTTTTGGATCATTAAGATTTTTATAATATATATATATATATATATAGTACAGGTAACCGATCTGGTGGTATATAATCCGGGTAGATAGGTATTTTTTACAGCAAAAAAACAAACAAAAATTACCTCTCTCTCTCTCTCATATATATATATATATATATATACATATACATACATACATACATACATACATACAGTGTTGTCTAAATTATGCAAAAAGGAAAATAACACCGACATCTCATTTTAACAGATATATTTACCAAAATTACACAAAAATATCTTGAAATACTAAAGAGTAAATTTATTAAATGAAATCACTACTGACTTTAACCAAAACCTCCAGATGACTTCAGAATCTCTTGCATCTCTTCCGAACAATGATCTTGTTTGATTTCGTGAATACTGCCATAATCCTTGCCTTCAGTTCATCTTTGATTGTTACAAGGAGTTTTGTTGGTCACTCGCTCAACTGCAACCCACACATAATAATCAAGTGGGTAGTAGTCTGTGGAATTAGGTGGCCAGATGTAAGGTGTGATGTGGTAGCAGAAATTGTCTGACACCCATGACTGGGTTCTCCTGCTTGTGTGGCATGGTGCAGAGCCCTGTTGCCAGATATAGGATCTTCCAGCAGCCACTCTCTTGACCCAGGGCAGCACTACCTCTTCAAGGCACTTGATGTAGGCCTCCATGTTGAGCCTGAGGCCCTGTGAGAAGATGAATGGAGGCACAACATCATCATCACCAATGATCGCGTTTATAATCACCATTAGACTCATCCAACTCTTTCCGAATCCTCTGTACTGTCCTCAGATTGACACCCAAACACTCTGAAATATTCGCCTTGGAGGTTCCAGTGCAAATGCCAAGCAGTACAGGATGCCATTTCCAAATTTCTGGTGGAGTGATTTGCATCATTTTTTTTTCTCAGACAGTGCTCAACTGACCCTACTATACTATGCAGTTGATAAAATAAAAAGTAAACAATACATATGTGCAAAATTAAAAATATGGGGTTGGTGCATAATTATGAGGCATTTTTTAAACAATAATTTTTATGAAAAATGAAACAATAACATTTTTAAATGATTATTCCAGAGTGTAAGCTTATTGACATGCATTTTTATAACCTGAGAATAAAATAATATTTTTATTAAAAAAAGTAAACACAGCACTTTTTATTAACAAATAATTCGCCTACAAAAACGCCTGATAATTATGCACCAACCCAATATAAAATGGTGACAATTTACCCATCGCACACTTTATAGATATTGAAAAATTTAATCATCGTGTGGTGAGGAAGAGAATGTGAAGGCAGCAAGCCACTTTTTTGTTTTTTTTTTAAATCAATTCACCCCAAGCAAGACGCTAATGCCACTAAGTGGCAATGAAGAGTCAATGAAAAGACTTAAGACCCAATCCTAAACAGTAAATAAGGGATAAACCTCTACTCCAGTTCAAAAGACCAGAGAGGAGTGTGAACTATCTACATTTATATGATTAGCTTGTGTGAATGGATAGTGGAACTGGCGGGGGAGGTGTTAACCTTAACAAAGAGTGGAAAAATGCTAAGGGTAGCAAGTGATAGTCAACTATATCCTGAAGAGTCACAGTACAAAGCAGAAGACGACAACTTATGAAAAGATGTTTACTTCTAAGATATGCCAGAAAGAGGGTACCCCTCATAGATTTGGAGAAAGCTCATCTTAGTAGAAAATGAAGGTTATTCACCTGGATGGAAATCAATGAAATTTGCCAAAGTAACACTAGTGAATAACAATTATAATATTACTGGTGAGTTTTTTTTATGTAAAAAAAAAAAAAAAAAAAAAAAAAACTAAAATATCTGGAGTGATTGCTTGATTAAAGACTATTTTACTTATATTTTAGATGTATTTTACAGTATACTTTTAGTACCTTTAGTGTTTATTTAGGTTTTTATTTCTCCCAACATAAGCCTTTTATTTTTCTATTGTACAAAGATAGCTTTCAAATTCACTATATAAAGGTTTAACAACCTCACAAAATGGACCTAGTTTTTAGGAGATTAAATAGTTTCCAAGTTTTTTTAAGGTACATATTTCATTTAATTTTCATCAGGAAGATTGCACTATTGTTATCTGCTAAAAGCAAGTAAACAAAAATTTGAGAAACATTATAAAACAGATGAAAAGATAAAAAAAAAAAAAAAAAATAATTCTATAATAGAGTTGTGAAACAAAAATTAATGTCTAATCAACACTTAAAAACTCTTTAGATTAAAAGATGAAAAAAAAAAAAAACTTCATAAAATATTCTCCACTCATGGGAATTTACAGAACTGTGCCAAATGAGTGTAATGTATTGATTAGCTGCCTCGGCTTATACAGAGTTTGGATTTTTGTCCATTTCTCTAACATAATATTCAGACTGGCTTACACATGTTTATATACCATAGTTAAAAATCTGAAACGAAATTAATGTCATTAACTGAGTTTCTATTCAATTAAAAAAAAAAAAAAAAAAAAAAAAGAGAAATCTTTTTTTGAAAGAGCATAACTCATGCCACGATATATAAATTCCTTTTTTGGCATAAGGAGAGAAATGTAAATTTAATAAGCTCATACAAATTTTATTTGTTACAATTAAAGAGGTGTGGAAAAATGCAAGTCATGAAATAATGTTGTTGAATTAAAAAAAAAAAAAAAAGTATTCAGAGGATGTGTAAAAAAAGAAAAAAAAAAAAAAGATTATCCATTGTATTTATCAGCAAATTTCAAGCATTATTTGACAAGATAAATATAAAACCAATTATTTTTAGGAGGTGGGTAACAAACATTTAAGTACTTTTTACCCAATTTTCATAAAAAAAATGGTGTAGTAAAACGCAGTTTCTGAAATATGAGATTACACATTTGACCTGCAGGATACTTATGTCAGTTTAGTAATGATTTGTGGGGTTGACACTAGTCTGAAGTGACATCAGAGAGTGCATGAGATGAAAGTCACTATTTGCATGTCATATATGCAAAAAGGTATACAGTAATGAGCCGGTCAGTTCAACATTGAAGAAATGACCTTCTTCTGTAAAGAAGTGGCAGTTATTACACATGCACACACACATTAATATATATATATATATATATATATATATATATATATATATATATATATATAAAAGACATTTTATATTTAACATTCTTTTTTATAGATACAAGTATTTAAGTAAATGCTCTGTTTTATAATAAACAGTATTAAATAACAAACATTTATTATTTATTATTGTTTTATTATAAAACAGAGCATTTACTTAAATACTTGTATCTATAAAAAGAATGTTAAACATAAAAATGTCTTTAATAAATTGTCGGACTTTGTCCATTTCTTAATGTATGTGTATATATATATATATAGAGGGACTCTCCACAATAAGCATTGTAAAAGTAGGTTACAATTTCACTTAGAACATGACACAAATAATAAAAACGCACAATAAAAAAAAATAACAAACAAATCACTTGCACCTGTGACTACAGAGCAAAACATGTACATCCCTTAAACACTCATTGCTTACAAAGCAATATAACATACCAAGCTACTATAAAAACAGTAGAGAACAAAGAAAAATATACATAGGAGTAACTGATGGACTCTGGAAACAGAAACTACGCACACACACGAAACATCCTTTATCAATAGTAAAATACATGATCAGCACAATCCTTTGTAGAAATATATACAAACTTAGCCTACAAGAATAAATTCAAAAACTGTAAACTTTGTTTTGTGGTGAAAATAGCTATCTGAGCTATAATAGTATCTGAAACAAAAATGGAGATGATGAGCCAAAGAGGAAGCTCTGTTGATTTTCAGAATGAAAGACAAAACTGTAAGGAAAATGCATTTGGAGCTCTTGAGGATAAGAGAGGACATGAATTAAATGACCTTATTAAATCAGATGACGAGAAACC